ATTTGATCAAACCACATATGGAATACATTATAAGGCACGAATAGATGATCCATAAGCACAAACACATAAATATCATCATATAAGTGAAATATAATGAATTCAAAGCAATAAATCAAAACAAACTCTTTGACAAAAGAATTTCAAGAGATGCAACAATATATCAAGCTCTTAAGCTTGTTTCAACCCATATAATCATTCTAGCATCCGGTAAACATGATTTGGGAATAAACACCCAATAAATCCGGAGGGTTATATAAACATAGTCCTCTCATCAAACAAAAAAAATAATCATGAAAACAAAAGATTTTGATACAAGAAAAATTGTTTTCATAACTAAAAGATTTTAAAGATATAATTTTCAAAATCAAGAAAAGAAAAAAAACACTAAAATTCTTGGCTTTAAAAATTATTTTGGCACCAAATTACTCTTGGTACCTAAGAGATTAGGGACATGACCCCTATCATTAAAGCTCAAAGTCCTAGGGTTATGAACCCTCTTGGACATATATGGTGCACGGGATCAGTCATAGCAATAATTACTCAAATGACCCTTCCGATTGCAATAAGTACAATGGAAAGGAAGCATTTGCTTATGTTGACCAAACGGTTGTGCACGGGAAACATTAGAATCATTTGCAAACATGGATGGTCTTTTAAAATTATTTTGCAAGTGTAAAACATTTTTAAGCAAAGGTGGTTTACTTGAGAAATTTGGCAAGTTTGAACATTTTTTCAAATCATAGCAAAACTTCGCCAAATGGCCAAATCTACCACAAACATCACATTTAAAAACATGTGTTCTACTAGAAACATTTGGCAAACTAGAATTCTTTTTCAAATCAAAGCAAAACTTTGCCAAATGGCCAAAACGACCACATAGAACACATTTATACACATTAGCATGCTTATGATGAGAAATAGATGCATGTGCATGTGTGTGTGCAAAATGTGATGATGAAGCTTGATGAGATGCACAAGGAGGATTAAAGTGAATCTTGGTGGGGTTATGTGCATCATAGCAAAATCTAGCAAGATGGCCTTTACGACCGCAATTTGTGCATTTGTAGACTTTGCTATACATGTGTGCATGATGAATAGGATGTTTAGATGTTTTAGCATGAGACTTAGCACACATGTTCATAAGCTTATCATGATTAACAATACATGTTTTAAGGGTTGAATCTAAAGATGATATGTGATCCTTAACATGATTCAACTCATCATTATGCATACAAGTATTGTTATTAGAAGTAGAACATATATTGTTATTTATAAAAGAAGCGGTATCATTTTGTATGTTCTCTACTTCTAACATGGCATTATTTTTAACATGAGATAAGCTAGTGATGGATGAGGTTAATTTTTTATTTTTCAAATTTAACATATCATTGTTTTCTTTAAGCATTATATTTTCATTTTCAATGATGTCAAATTTGGACACTAGCTTCTCATGATCGGATTTCAATTCTACATGCTTGCTTTTAAGATCAATAAAATTATTTTGTAATTTTGTATAGGCATGCAATAATTTCTCATATGCACAAGCGAGTTCATTGATGGATATATCACTTTCGGATTCCGAATCGCTTACCACACTAGGGCTATCGCCTAGTGGCCGTGTGCATGATGATGCTCCACACTCACTTGAAGAACAATCCTCCAAACTACGTCGGATTTCCTCCAAGTTGCCTTGATGTGCTTCTATGAATTTCCATAAATTGTAAGCACTATCAAAATGAACAAATTTGTTAGAAAAGGATGAGTCAAAGGCATTAAGCAAATATTCTAACAAAAGCTTGTTCATTGAAAACATTTTCTTATCATGATCGCTCCACTTGGATTTCTCCAATGTGGGCACAATATAAGCACAATCAATAATTTTCCATAAGTCAATATTTCTAGATTCAACAAATAGTTTAAATCTAGAAGCCCATTGTGCATAGGGAAAATTAATGAATTTAGGAGCAACATTGGATTTATAGCCTAAACAAAATACATTCATATTCAAGATATATATATGAACATATGCAAGCAAGAC